CTAAACAAATAAAATTTAATTGAATTGAATTGAATTACTGTGTCTCTAACATCTGAGGAACTCCTCTTAGTAAACCTACTTCTGTCCAGTGAAGGATACAGTTCTCATCACCTGTCCGGTTCCTGGGTGGCCCGGGCATGTTGAGGAGGACTAGCTTGGCCTCTGAGGACTTTTTGATGATGACTTCATTCAGCCGGAGCGCTGTGTGCATACGTCGCACATTGGACTGGTTCCTGAGTGAAGACAAAGCAACAGAAAACGTGGTCAAACTATTGATTAAGACCTGGGTATGTGATTTTTCAAAGCATGTTGTGAAGCATTTATGATACTAAGCTGTTTGAGGTGACAGATGCTCATTCACACACAAGTATTCAATCTTCAGCTGCTCATGTGGCCAACTTGGTCAGTATGAGATGTGAATGGACTGAATGAGGATTATAGGGACTTCAATACTTACAGGTTCTCCCACTCGCTGCAGCATGGCAGGAAGAGAAACACATGACAATCAGTACTAAACTATGAATGTTTTTTTTTTATGAACCTAATTCCAAATTCAAAAACCTTATAAATCCTTTAGCAGCATCCTCTCTCTCTCTCTCTCTCTCTCTCTCTGTGCTTTATTGTACAGAAAAAAAGACTGCGGAGACTCAAAGCTCTTTTTGTCAGGAACAAGAAGGTACTTCACCTTTATGACAGGTAAGGGTTCAATGAGCATTTCAAAGCACTCACGGCTTCATGTTGAAGATGTCTTTGATGCCCTCTGGGGTAGCTGCGCCAGGCGGCTTGGCTGGCTCGCCATCACACTTCTCAGTCCAGGTCATCTGGACCTGCTCTCCGGGGCTCTTAGCCCCCTCCGCAGGGGTCAACGGGGTGGCCGGTGTTACGGGGCTGGTTGGGGTGGTGTTGTCGTGGATGAGCTGGACCTGGGCAGGGGGGGACACAGGGGAAGAGGCCGACTTTGACTATGAGACGAGAGGAAAAGAGGACGGATGTGGATTTACATGTACATTACAACATGGAAGGTTGAAAGAGTCACGATTGAGGTGGAAATGTGGGAATGCAGGTAAAGTCACAGAGAGCCACAGTGTTTGAAAGGGGGGGAGGAAAGAAAAGTGTGATTAGGAAGCCTTACGTTGTTAAGTCTGCATATTATGTGGGTTCTTTTGTTGTAACATTGGTTGTGATTGAGGCGAGAAAAAAGTGAATCTATATTACATTACCTTAAAATTATCCTGCAGTTAGAGAATCAAACCAAATCAGTTCAACAGAAATTTAAAACTGGATGGAAACCCATAATTGCTCCTGGGTGCCGCAACATTTCCAATGTGTGTGTAAAAAAAACTGAGTGAAAAAATAATTTTCCCATTGGGGTCTGCTTCTTCTGCTTCTCCTTCCCCTTTATTATAGAAAGTTTTAGTATTTCTATCACACCACACTACTATTCTTAGTTGTGCTTTACATTATGTTGTGTTCTACTATATTGTCCACTTTTTGTTTATCATTTGGATTCTTTTATAACTAAAAACCTGTGTTTCTGGTTGTCATACAAACAGACTTTTCACTTCAAGCTGAGGTCAACTGTGGTCTACCTCTTCCTCAGGCTTCTCCTCCTTGCTGGCTGCCGGCGGGTCCTCGGTCACACTCAGCTGGGTGGTCACAGCGGCCGGGTTCTTACGGCGGATAGACCCGCGGGATGAATCAGTAATACTCTGGATCTGTAGAGACACAGATGAAGCAAAGATACAATATTCATTGCTCAATATTCATGACAAGCAAGGTTCAGGGATGTGTTTTTACAAGACATTTATTTACCGTATATCACCTCAATGATTAAAAAAAATAAATAAGCAGGCGATCAAAGTTCAACAAAGAATGTGGAGTAGGTAATAATAGTATGAGATCAATATCATTTATTTTCTGTCAAAACACCATCATGCTGTCATGCACAAAAGCAAAGCAGTTGCTGCTGTGGCTGTACTCAACACTGAGAGAAAGGGTAAATATGCTGTCCCACTGCTCCGATTTAACTGTAGATATGCTTTTGTCCAGAGGGGCTAATGTGTCATGTTAAGTCAAGTCAAGTTAAATCATGCCAAGCCATGCCAAGTCGACCCATCAAGTCGTGTCAAGTTAACATGTGCACCTTTGAGTGAATTTCAAAACAACAAAACTTTGGCATAAACAAACTTTTCTTACCTCTCGTTCACGCTCGTTCTTAGTCATTTTGATCTGTTTAAGCATCTGCGATCGTTGTTCCATCACCAGGGTCTTCTCATAAGTGTAGGCTGAGATGTCGCTGTCATGCTAAGATGAAAGAAAAAAGACGTTTTTTCTTATTATCCGCGTTGTTTTTGGTGCTTTTTACGTTCATTTATCAGTATATTCATTTCAAACCCCTCATGTGTAATGCTAGTCCACTGTTACCAAAACTGGGACGCATACCCCCCAATTCCAATGTTGGTAAGGTGCCAGGGGGAGGAGCTTTGGCTGAAGCTTACTGATGCCTTAACACAATGTATTTTATTCTTGCCACTGGGACTGACGTTTTTCTGATATAGGTGCTTACAGGTATTTCAAACTTCAGTCTGGTCTCGAGAAAACTCACCATTTCCACAACTTCCACCATGGCGTCAATACGGAGGTGATAGAGGAATGTGGTCAGGTCCTTTTTCATCTGGATGCTGTTATCGTCCATCTGGGCCACAGTGAAGATGCGCATCTTGCACTTCCTCCAAACCTGAGTAGCAGAAACAACACTGCTGACATATCGTGTTCTGTGGCTACTTTATTTAAGTGTCTACTGTTCAAAACTACTGAAAACTACTACTTGAGCTGCATCTGCCTGCAAACTGAACTTAACAGAACATTGTATGTGTATATGATGTCCATCGGGCAGGAAAGTGTTTATTTTGTCTGAATTTGTTTACTTTTTATACTGAAATATGTTTGTAATGTTTTAGTTTCTAGTATTAACTGTTGCACAGTACCTTGTGCTGGCGGAGGAGGAAGGGAAGCAGCATCAGCATGCCTCCATCATGGACGATCCACCACACGTCAATGTGACCCTCGGTGAAGCGCTCTCCATTGGACGGGAAGGCCGCGATGTTCTTCGGGACAAGCATAGCCAAGTGAGCAGCGGTTGTTTCTCTGACCAACTCTGCAGAACAGACACACACACACCGAGGGAGAATTGTTAACCGAACTACTTCTACTAACTGTCTTCATTAGATAAACTATTATCACAGGATTCACTTAAATGTTTTACATGTTTTGGACTTTGTTTTTTCATGACTTTCCTGATGTAGCTAATTGGCTGTAGTTGAGCTTAATGGAAGCTTTGACACTGATGTTTTTCTGTTTATGTTTGTCTTCATTTTTGCTTGGAACTGGCTTCTTCCTTGTCAGTTTTTGTTGCTGCATCATTTGACATGAGTAATTCTGCTGTCCATCAAATATTTCTTCTTTTCTTTCATGGTGTACTCATATTATTCTTTTCACTTTTCCCCTAAACAGAGAGGTTAAATAGCAGGATGAGTGTCTGAAAAGCTGGAGCTGGTAGGGATTTTGTCTTGCTGAGATGCTTCAGCAGGACAATGCTAGACATAAAAAGAGTTTGAAACCTACGGTTTTTGATGGCAGAGAAGTGCACCACTCCAACACACTAACCCAAAATCTGCCTAAAGCGAGAGATTTCAGCATTTTTTAAATGGATTATTTGTTTATTTGCTCTCCCAGTGACCCACCAACAAAGTTCCTCCAGGTCTGGTGCTCATCTCCCTGCTTCCAGTTACGTGGCCAGGATACAAGCAGAGCATTATGTTTCAGGCCTCCTAGCCCACTGGCCTGGAGGAGGTGGGAGGTGGCATCACGCAGGTTTGAGGACACGGTCACTTGACAGAAGCCCTTCACCTTCTCAGTCTCCATCAGTTTACGCAATGCCTACAAAGACAAGAGAGAAAAACTGTTACCAAAGTGCAGACAACAAGTCAAAGGCTAGCCTAGTGCAAGACTCAGCTTCACAAGTTGTTACACGCAAGTACATTTATATAGGATTCAGATTCTTCTGATTAAATACCATTGCCATTTTTATGTAGTCAATAAGAATTTGGTTTGGTGAGAAAAACAAGAAGAACCATAAGGACATGAAAGTAAATTAGGTGATAAGTAATAATTAAAACAAGCATTCCCATGGGGGTGCTATCAGTACCACAACCATCTATGGTGTATACCAATGTATATATAACCTTACAGTGTACAGACAGGAGTAATAGCAGCACATAAAGGATTTAAGAGTTAAGGGCAAGAACAGCTTCTGGGTAGGTGCTGTTGCAGAACACGGCTGTCCTAGTTCTTTACCTTACTTTCAAAAGAACGAAGGATGTTTAAAAGATGGTTAGCAGAGTGAATAATATTGTGTCCTTAATATCCACATATTCATACATTTGTACATTGTACACTACACAGAACACATGTAGACAAATCAGGGGATCAAAAGCAATGTCTGTTCCAATATATACTTAAAAGTGGGCCTGGATTTTAAAATAAATGTCACCTTTTGACTGTGATAAGTATGTCAGATATGTTCAATTCTGTGCCAGCTAGCTCGACATGGTTTCTTGTCTGTGATCTAATTTAATAAAACACATTTTCTTCCACAGAGGAACAGAATTTGAAAGAGCTTTCTTTTTTATTTTCATTGAGGCTCCCTACCTGCTCTGCACGCTGGGTCTGGTCGTAGTTCTCCAGGTAGCTTCCCACTAGAGCTGTTCCAACAATGGTCAGACCTTTGCCTGCCTTCAGCTGGTTAGTCAGAGACAGCAGACGAGGCTGCTCGACGTTTTGCTCTGTATCTGTACTAACCAGCACAAGCAACTGGGGCCTGAGGAGAGGGAAGAGCAGAGGGGAGAGAAAGTGAAAACACAGGGCAGAAAAAAGTAGAGCGAAACAAATACAGGGCAGGGAGAGCGATGAAGAATCAAATAAAGTCATGAGGGAAGAAATGGCTGAGTGTGCCAAGTAAAAGTCCTAGTTGGGAAAGAGAGACAGGGAAAAACAGCATGTGAGGTTGATGTGTTAATATAAATTCAAACACTTGACTGCGATGAGGAGAATCACATTAAGTGAGAATGGTTAAACGTGTACAGACAAGTTGTTAATTTCTACATTAATTACATGCAGGATAAAACAACAATGTGTGACCAGTGTGTGATTGTGTCATACCTCCAGTTCTTGGTGTGCGGGGGACCTTCCTCCAGCCGCATGAGAGCGTAACGTGCAGCGCTCAGAGACAGACCTCGTATCCCATCACCCCACTCTTTCTCCGCACTGTGACACAGACAAGAGCCAGTCAATATTTGCCGGTCAAAACAATTGTTTTGCAGCTTCATACTAGATTAAAAATTAACAGTGACACAGTCAGCACACTGAAACAAATCTACTTTTAGACGACAGTTTGACATAATGCAATGTGATTAAGAATTAGGCATCATTGGTAAATGTCAAGTTAACATGATGTCACTGACCACAGGGAATCACAGCACTTAAATACTTGCATTGCTCTGTGCCACTCATTATAAGCATGGATGGATTACTGAACGGGCCTAGCAGACACAGGCACAGGGGCCAGAGGGTTCAGGGGGCCCCTGGGCTAGAGCCTCCGTTTGAAGTGACTGATCAGTCTTTTAATACTAAAATCTGTCAGCCAAATACAATCGAAAAGTTTTTTTTTTTTTTTTATCCTTTAGCAGGAGCTGCACAGTTTAATGAGGCTTGAGTACAATTTCAATAAAAGACAGTAAAATTAGTGAAGCTATTTAAATAAACAGGTTTGAAGAGACACGAAACAACTACAAAGAGAGATAAAACAATTACAAACAACATAGCTATAGTTTCTGAACAAACAGCAGCACCTGAGAGTTCTGCTTTATCTACAAAACATCACTCAAAGAGAAGCAAAATGACTATTACAGCTACATCATTTGAGTCTTTGGGGGAGGAGGGTGTTGTGCTGACTGGCCCGTTGTCTTATAATCTGCCCATAATTATAGGGAGGACATTATGTGTAACACATGGTATCTGCCTGTTTTCTACAGTGCACCAAGTAGTTTACTTGGAAATTAACACTCTTACATGACTATAACCAGACTGTTGTTATAACCAGAAACACGAATTTCTCAGAATTTGAAAAACAGAAAACTCTTAAAATACAGTATATAACAACACACACACACACACACACACACACACACACACACACCAACACACAAACACCCAAACACCAGCAAAAGCCAAAGGCAGCCAACGAATCCAATCTCTCCTGGGGTTGCGCTCCACTCACCCTGCGAACTCGATATACTTGTAGATAGAGCCGGCAATCACCATGGCGACGATGGCGTAGTACCAAGAGCAGATGAACATGAGAGTGAGACACAAGCTCATCCCCAGGAAGGACAGAGTCCTGTAGAGATGGATAAAGAGATAGACAGAGACACAGAGAGACACAAACAGTAAAGCTAGAGTCCCAGAGAGACTAATTTAAAGACAGAAAACATATTTAAAATACAGACATTCAGCTGCTATTTTTCTCAGTAGCTGCTGAACTGACCAGTGGTAGAACTTGAAACGGGGTCTCCAGTTTGGAGTTCTCAGCAGCGTCTGCAGAGCACAGGCCAAGTTCACGAACATGTAGCACATAAGGAAAAACCTGCAGGAGACACACAGAAACAAATAAACTCAATTTAAACTGCAACACAGTAGAGTGATTTCACCCTCAATGCACTCCAAGGAGTATGTCGTCTCAATATCTGTCACATTCACTGGTATTTATATGTATTACCAAAGCAGAAAAGCGGCCTGCCCTTTTGTGTGATGAGCTAAATCCTGAGATTATAAAATTTGGCATTTGCATCGTTTAAGGAATAGCGGGGGACTGGCTGCTCTGAAATCTCCCACTGTTGGTTCTTGAAAAAGGGCAGTGAATTAAGAGAGTTTGTTTCAGTTCTCACATGGAGAGGATGGGAGCCACTGCATCGAGGGAAGCAATGAGGATGCCGCTCTCACAGATACAAGCTGTCAGCAGGAGGGACCATGTGGGTTCTCCGTTGGCCTTTCCATGGCCAAAGATCTGCGGGGACAGCACAGAAACATATTAACACCACCGTTTTTTAAGAGTAAGTCAGCTTGGAGTGCTTATTGCACACAGTATGTAAAATCATTAGGAAGGAAGGGGAACATTATGAGTGTAAATAATTAGGCAGACTGACCCGAAGGGCGGGCACGATGTTGTCCTTGGCGATGGCTTGCAGGAGACGAGGAGCTCCGGTCAAACTCTGCAGCCCTGCCCCGCAGGTGGAGAAGAAGGAGCCAATCACAATCACCCATGGTGATGGCCAAGCTAATGTGCCAATCACCAAGTTCCCGTGGACTCCCTCCCCGAACCTTAAGGAGATGGGAAAAGGTTGGAGATGTGTTTTTTATTTTGTTCATGTTATTGAAGCAATAATCAGTTATTATTATGAGGTTGTTTGTTTTGACTCATCAAGATAGGACTTACTTGTCCCTGAGGACCACACCCTCGATGCAGGCACCAAACAGAACCACACTGGACATGTCTAAGAATTTATGGCTCAAGAAAATAAAAGAATTTCATAGACAGGTGTCATGTTTTTAAAATAGTGCACATTTGAAATATTTTCTAGCATGAATGCTCCTATGATGAGACATGTTTAGTAAATGACAGGAGTTGATTATAAAAATGATAAACCTTTAAACCCTTTAAAAATGTACTTAATGATCTGATAAACCAATCAACTACATTTGCAGAGTAAAGACAATCAATTTTGTTTAGGATAATATCTCAGAGATCAATGACATTGTAACTAATATCCTTCTTCTTTATTAACTCATGATTGCACAGGCAGCCCGGTGATGTGATTAGACGTCCTAATCACATTTGTTTGGACCCCAAGCTGATTACTCCAAGAAACATCGAAGACATTCAAGATGGCTGCTTCAGAGTCAGAGGCCTGTGATAACATCTCTCTTGAAGTACATATGTATATAGCAGCCAAATAATGTTTTAGTTGATAATTATGGATATAAGAATCCTCAATTTAAAACTTTTGCACAGACAAATGTCATTAAAACATAAGAATGTGAGGAGGAGGAAATTGGTAGCGCCACATGTATCAGCTGTTTCCCAAACACACGTCACACCACTTTTTTTTTAATTTTTAAATATTTATATTACCATGTACCATAGTTATGCTAGCATCTTTTACATATATAAACATTCTGGAAGAAAAAAGAGCTCATATTGAACCTGTTGCACCAAACTGACTCAGCAGCCACGCCACCATGATCGAACGAGAAATGATAACGAGAAAGAGAGTCAGCGTCCACTCCCATGAATGACACGGACATACTTTGGTCCAATCTGACAAACAATGCAGTCCCACTTGTGAAAAACAGACTTGTATTGTAGCAGTTATGGCCTTTCACAGTTTAAAACGTTGACCTTTAATTATCATGCTCCCTGCAGGCCAATCAGTGTGTTTTTGTTGCAGCAGAGCAAAGCACCACAGTGCATCATCCCTTCAAGTCCTGTCAACATTGGAGCAGTGGTGTCTGACATAACATCACTGAGCTTAAAATAACATTTGAGTGACTATCTGGCTGGAATACTTTAGGTCTTAATTAGGAATTATGTAACAAACAATCCTGGCGAGTATATCTAACTTATGGTGTCCTCTCTGGGTTGATCAGTAGGTTTTAACTTATACAATCTTCTACTGATATAATATTTGGCTGAAAACTGGCATTTAAACACTTAAAACTTTTAAACTTAAAACTGTGCAGTGACCGTTGTTATCCTGCAGGGGGCAGTAGTAGGAGGATACAGACAGTGGAGGTGGTGGTGATGGCTGCAATGGTTCCAATGGGGATTGATTTCTGGGCATCACGCAGGTCTCCGGAGCGGTTGGAGCCAGCCATGATCCCTGAATAGATAGTCGAAACAAACGTTATCAAGGTCAAGGAGATTTACACACATGCAAACACAGGGGCGTGTTAGAAGCAGCAGAATATCGATCAATTCCTTTACATCGATAACACAGAGGTGTCATACAGAAAGCTGTTTCTGTAACCTCTGAGTGCTAACAATACAAACTGTCACCCTAACATTAATAAATCATTTAATTAATACAAATCATAGGAACAGTCACAGTCACCTGTCACAGAGGGGAAGTAGATGCCGACCAGCAATGTAAAAAAGCTGGTGATGTCGGCCAACACGTAGCGGTTTGAGTTCGTCAGAGGGTCGTCCTGGTCTTCCGCTGAGTCCATGTTCTGTCTGGCAATCAGGTCCCCCTTCTCATAGTAGGTTCCGAACAGGTTCTCTGGATGGGTGAGAAGGATGAAGGGAAGAAAAGAGTGAATTGAGTGAATGTTTCATGAAGACAAAACCAAATTTTTAAAAAAGGACATAAACAAGCTTTTATTCCAGACTGCCACCTAGTTAATGTAATTTTAGATTGCATTTTAATTCAAGTGAACACTAACAGGTTTACTTTAGCTCTCCAGTTATCAATAATTTCTACTTTTACATAGTAACTTTGATGCTCTTAGGTTTGTGTTACAATAAACGATAAAGAGACACACTCCAGATGTTATTTTGTAGTTTTGGGCTAAATTAGACCCGTGCTTACGGCTCCAAAAGACCTGGGCTAACTTTGGTTGATTATTTTACAACAGTGAATCCCAAAGTAGATTTAATGTGGTGTGTTTGACACTAATCAACAGATTAGTTATTGGTGCAGCCAATTCATTTAGGAAGTCTTTGATTAACTGTGACATTAGTGTCTTTTTTAGTGCAAAAACATTACATCTACTTTGAGTTAATGTTCTTTTGAGGGGGTGAATACTTTTTATAGGCACTATATTAATCATGCGCTCTTAACCAAATGTTATGACATTTTAATAACAGAGTAATAATATATTAAAGAGGCCATATTACGATCTATTCAGGTCATACATTGATATTGGGTTTCTACTTGAATGGGTTTAGATTCTTTAATGTTCAAAAAACACATTATTTGTCATCCTGTTTCGGATAAACTTCAAAGGGAGGAAACCTGCAACACTCAGTGTAAACATATCATTACTGTACAGTGGTTCAAAATAAGCCTGAGTGTACAAAATTTTGTCTGGTAAAAAATTATCCAACTGGGGCTCAGTAATGTAACGTGGTTCTCTCCTGCAGCTTGATTACTGTCAGTTTAGTTTGAACAAAGTGGATCTAGGGAATTATTTGTTGACTGTCTGGGAATTAATAGGGTTAATGTTGCTTGGAGGAAGGTATCAGGCTTAAGTCCAAATGCAAGTCGAGTAAAATCAAGTCTTAAGTAATCAAATTGGTGAATCTGACTTGAGTCCACATCTCTGCAAATTCCCATATCTTCTTTTTACATAAGAGATATAAAAAGACATTCTCATCCAATTTATCAAACTCAGTAAATGTTTACTCAAAAGTATATGGTTAAAACAAAATATATGTCACTCATATATATAAAATATATCAGTTTTCCCTGCAAAAAAACTGCAGCCACTTATTCACACTGTTATGTTTCCCCATTTGACAGACAACAATGCAATTTGGCAAAGCTTTTTTCCTTTGAGGAGAAAAAGCCACCAGTAAATTGTCACAGCAACATGTTAAGACAAGAGACAGAAAGAAATACATATTTGTGTTCTGCACATAGATGTGTGTACTTGTGTCCTCACTGTATAAACATTATACAGATCCAAACCGGATGAACCAACCTGCCAGAATTCCACTGGTGACCCCCGGGATGCCCTGGATCTGAGACACATTGTTGGCTGTGAAGTACTTGTCGCAGGTAGCATTGAGGAGAGGTGAGTCACAGAACATGCTCCACAGCTGGGTGGTGACTGTCCCATTAGCTGTCTCAACGGTCTTGGCACACACATCAAATGACTTCCACACTAAAGTGCGATTGCCCAAGAGACACACACTGGAAGGAAGAAAAGCACAAATGCTCTGTCAGAGAATTGTTGTAGTGGCTGTTGTGTGTGTTTGGTGTTAACAATTTGTTTTGACTTTTTTAGTAAAGATGCATTATCTTAAATCACAAGATTTCACACATTCTTCCCACAATTTGATTAGATTATATCCAGCACAACAACAGCCCTACAACTGTAAATAGTAAAAAGTAACTAAACTGATTTCAGTAAGTACTTAGTTGAATAATTTTTGTTTTTGTTTTTTTGCAATCTCACCAGGGAGCATTGATTTTGTGATGTGACGTCTAGGTTCAAAATGTGTTAAAGTCAGGTAAAAAGTAGATGTCTGGGTTATATACAACTGTTGACTCATCAGCATCTTAATGACGCAGGTTCCACCTAACAGCACACTGAAACAATAAAATTACTGGCAACCTAGTTTAGCTCAGTTTTAACCTAGAAGTCTTTAGACCTGCAAATCAATCAATTAGTACTTAATTGGGAAATAAATTCCATTAAAATACTGCAGTTTTATTAATTCCCAAGCCTTGAAATCAGTGCAGATTGTAGTTATAAACCTAGACTGTGTGTTTGTATATTAGCTGTGTATTGTATGTGCCCAGATGTGTTTCTTTGCCTGGCTGTCAGGGTTATGCATATACTTTGTGGCCAAGCTTATATTCTGTTGGACTGGTCACTGCTTACGGGAATATGGGAGGCTCGACGGCGGTCTTGATGACTCCGGCGTAGACAGCCAGGATGGAGAGAATGACGCAGGCCAGAAACACCAGGGCCAGCTTGTTGACGTACTTCACTCCGACAAACACCACCGTGGCCATGGAGGTCAACAGGATGGTCCCGTACACGCGCATGTTGTTCAGAAGGGCAGCCTCTGCCTCGGCACCCTCCAAGCCTTCCAGGGGAAAGATGGCTGCTTTTGGTGCTATGTAGATCTGAAGTAGAGGGGTTATATTAGTGTTTGTTTTCCCTGTTTATATCAAGGGAAAGCACAGCTACGTTTTTCTCATAAAAGTTCCATACAATCTCAGTTTTGCTCAAGGGCATCTTGGTGGTAGTTGTTTAGGGAGTGTTACTCATCCATTATCCCTCCTCACTTTTCCCCAGCCTGTCTGGGGATTTAAACTGGCAGATTTCAGGTCATGAGTCTTCTCCTCTAGCTTATTGTTTACTGCTGAATTTAATAAATCTCACCCTGGGTAAAAAAAAAAGCTGAAATATAATAAAAGAGAGGTGAGAAAAGCATGAGGTAAGTGAGGAGGACAACTCTGTGAAGTGTGAAAACATGTGATGCTCACATTAACAGTCCTCTACTGGAGCTCGGAGCAGCACATATAATTCTGCTCTGCTATTTTAATTCAGCTTAATTAAAGAACTCAAGCATGGTATTAATATTTGAAATGAACTGCCATTATTACACTTTTACTACGGGTCAATCTAAAAATAGTCCCATCATATAGAAAACGGTAAACCCCCTAATTAGCCCGTCAGTATCTGTCATCAGCTTTAGATGATTCATCGCGAAGCTGTTACATAAGCACGGGAATATCTTCTTTTTTAAATAATCATTTGGTTTCCACCCAAAAACAGTTAAATCACCATACAGTGGGAATAAAATTGACAAGAACGAGCAGGGAGTCATGGCTCATTACGGCCATTTGGCTGGAGAAACTGATCGGATGCTAAGAACAGCATATCACTAGGCAAACAAATCTCCTGCTTCACTGTGAACTGTTCATGCTTCCTAAAATAGCAGCATCAGTTTGTGTTCTTGGCTTGGGTGGAAGGATGAAACATATTCAAATCAGCCTTCTCCAGATCCACTCTTTACAATTCTGCAGGGATTGTTATTTTACAATGGAAACTAAGCCAGCTTTGACCCAGAAGACAGAATTAACCTCCAGGCATGATCAAACTCTGCATATCCATTAGAGGCATCCAGAAGGAGAATAATGGAAGAGTAAAAAAAAAACCACACTGGTATGTTGATAACAGTGGACCAAAGTGATGAGAGCTGTTTCAAGGAATGGTCTTGTTACTTTGCGAGTGTCTTGATCGCTCGCTAATGCAGTATTTGCATAATTACCCAATAGTCCATGCAGCATGGGGGACTGCAGTGGAAGAAATGTGGAATAAAAGGCTGAGGAGGAGGAGGAGGAGGAGGAAGAAGAGGAGGAGGAGGAGAGGAATGAAGATCGAGATGAAAGATCCCTGCATTTCATCAACTGATCAGAATTCACGTTGAAGAACACACAGCTTGAGAAAAAATAGCTTCAAAGAGCAATGAGGAGGAAAATAAACTGAAGGGGAAGAACTCAATGTGGCACAGAGCGCTGCTGCGTACTGTTCCATTTCTGAAGGGAGAACAGGATTTCTTTTCTTTTTTTCACTTTTCCAATTCACCGTTAATTTCACTGCACTGAAGATTCAGTGTCTGCAGCAATCAGGCAGCACAGCAATTTGCTATCAAGGATTTACACTGATACCAAAAGCTCTTCCTGGATTATATTCTGCCTAATTAGCCTTTCATAAAAACCTATTAAAGACACTGTGCAACAAAAAAAATTACATTTTCTGAAAAATAATCCTGTCTTTGTGTAACTTGTTCAGTTCTCTTGTTGGATGCTAAATGTGACGAAAAAGGTCGTTCTTGAATATTTTAAATCTTCGGTTTACTCTCCTGTTAAAATATTTTTGATGATTCATTTTTAAATTGGGGATTATACATACTATAAATGTATTGGCTGACCCCAGCCCATGGTATAAAACTGCACTTGACTCAGTCTTCGTAAGAGTTCACAAAGCGATGTCATGGATCAGAGGAGTGTGTTTGAAGAGTGTGGTTGAGGAGACATCAGTGATTGATTTTTGAATGCCTCTGTACTGCTAGTTTTGTTTGGCTCCTTGCCTCATGCCATTGAACCATTTCCAATATTGGCACCAGTTTCCCTTGGGCCAGAGCAACATGGAACCAAATCTTTTATGTATTACTTGCATAATTTAATCAAGAGGTCATTTTAAATTGTGACAATGCTGCACTCGCTGCACAGTGACATCGCCTTCCTCTTGAGAGTAGCTTTTGTGTTATCACTATGACAAAATTGTCAAAGTATGTGTTTATTGTGGGGGAAGGAAAAGCTGTGATTTGACTGGTCATCCTCTACTAACCTGGCAAAGCTATCCAATCATTTTCCCTTTCAACATTATAGATGAATTAGCTTGAAATGTCAAGTAGGCTGAACAAAAGAGACAGTTGACAGTTTGTCTCCTTTACTCACATCAACATGAACCCACTCACTGGGCTGTCACTGGTCTTTGTGTCTAATTTCCAGTCTGAGAAAACATGGCAGCTGTTCTGGAAATGTTGTCAAATTTTTCACCAATTATTAGCAGAGTCATTCTTAGAATTAATCTGGGGCGAGAAATAGGCCATAGAGGTGCAGAGAAATGCACCAATTTAGATCTAAAATGCCTAATTTGTTATCAAGATTGAGTAATTTGCAGGATGAGTCCCATGATCATCTGAATATTTACTGATTGGTCCGACATTCTTGGCTGAATCAACTCTGGACTGGATGTTTGGTGCTAATTCTTGAACATACACATTCATAGTCACCAAACTCAATGAGTGTGGCATCAAAAATCATTAAAACAGACGCCCTGATGATAACAGTAAAAAATACGAGAGAGGAGTAAAGAAGATGTTTCTCACCAAGAGGAGCTCAATCGCTCCCAGGATGTACATGGCTCCAGCATAGGTGGTACCCAGGTAGAAACATATCCCCACTGCTCCCCCAAACTCAGGGCCCAGCGAACGGGATATCATGTAGTAGGAGCCTCCAGCTGCACACAAACACAGCAATGTTAACAGAAACACTCAGAAATAGGTGTGTACGGTGTTTGTATGTAGGTACGTATTTGATTTAAATGCAATATACATCCTCTTTTAATGTGCAAATTTATCTGCACATTACTGTCCATTATCTAAGAGATACACAACAACTCGTTTGATTCAAGTTTGATATTTGAGTGCCATTTTGGCTATAAAAAATTTACGAAAAAGTTAATTCATTTTTGTTTCATATTCTACTCTTAAGCCTTATAATATAAAAATGAATAGCAAATGCCTATCGTGTTACCAGAGCCACATATAATGTCTGACAATAGTTGAACTATCAGCCACAAGCAAAATGTTGAATTTACAACAAAGAAAAGCAAAAAAATGTTTGCTATTTTTACTAAAATTATTAATTGATTGTCACACCTGGATCTTATTATGATCACCTCACTCATATTCTTATAGACTGGTATTAGTATTTGTGTAATTGTTCAAATGTTCTTTTGTCATTGGCTGTAATTTTGGTTATGATGTTTTTATCAGTGCTTTTATTTCCTAATGGTAAAAATACATTAACAGAACATAGATAAATAGACCTTAATCAGCACTTTGCAGCAGCATCAAGGCTGGTACTAGTTATAACAGAGACAGTTATAATTGGCGTACACTTCCACTCTTCACCACAAGCCTGTAATTTGCTCTGACCCCTGCTGTATGCACACCAACTGGTAACACGCAGGCCATCATTACTATATAAACTCGCATTATAAAATAAAGCTACACTGCATAATGTGTACATTAATGTGTCTGCATACAGATACAAACACATTATTTCAGTTTTACATGTCAGGCATTTGGCTGTTGTTTTATTTTGTGTAAATAACATTGTGTGACAACAAGTTAAAGTGCACAAGATCCCAGACTAAAGCTTTAAATGTTTCTGGGGATATCAAGCTGCGCTGGGTGTAATGTGCCAAAAGCAATCAGTGAAAAGAGAAATTTAGAAGCGGACAGACTCAAACAGTGATGACTGTGTGGTGCCAGCGTCTGCTCACCCACCTGGCACTACTCCATTGGTAGCGATGGCACTCATCGAGATGGCAGTCAGCATGGTCTACACAGAGAGGGAGGGGAAACGACAGAGGAGCAAAAAAACGAGAATTAAATCATATTTATTTATTCTGCATAATACTGTGAATATGGAGAGTTGATTGCTGAGTTTCTCATCCTAAAATCTGTTAAAACACATAATTGATGGTTTTCTTTCATAAAACATTAATGAAAGTGAAGAATAGGTTTCCATTGGTAGACATAACAACGTTTATAGTCAATATATCTTAACTAATAATTTCAAACAATTCAAAAAGGGAGAAAAAGACAGCCTACAGCCATGCTAGCAACTCTGTGAAGCTGCACTCCGGCAAAGTGGTGCTTTGCTAATTTGCTAAATGCTAATGTCAGCAAGCTAACATGCTAACAGTGACCATGCTGATATGCTAGCAGGTATACTGTTCACCAAGTTAATCCAAAGACTGGAAACATCCAGCCTGGCTCTGTACCATCTTATTTAACCATGTTGAACTAATATTTGATAACTAGCACAGTACAAAGCAGAGCTGAGGCTAATGGGAATGCCACTTCTTTTACTGATATTTTGCCATAACTAACATGATGATAGAAGTTGAAGGAACATCATAGTTGTGACGATATTTCACCTCTCTTTCACCTCATTGTGGCGCTAAAGAAAAACAACTTACCAAAGTCATCTGGGAACCTTTAAAGTACAGTCCTTGTGCCAATCCGCCCAATATATAGGAGAGATATTTCACTAAATACGTAAAAACCTGCTGATGGTGCTAAAAGAAAAGCCAGACGATCACTTCAGTAATTAGGTTTTGTCCTTATGACTCGTCCTAATGTACCAAATTGGATGGCAACACACACGATAGGTGTTGAGATATTTCAGTACATCCATAGAGAACCATACACTGTCTTTAATTTTATGTCATTCGCCATTTAGTAAAAGTCACTTGCACTTTTTTGTCAACTTCAGAAGTTAACTTTCCATATCTTCATTTCCTCCCAGGTGGGTGTCCATCATAACAGCGTCAGGCCTGTGGTATGTAACATCAAAACACCCCCTGACGGAGTTAACGTGAGGACAACACCGATTTACAGCAGTGCAAAATGCTAAAGCTGACTGGTTGTTGATTAGATAAATAATAATGCCACCGGGCTTGTCAACAGCTGTCAGAGCACATTCAGACACCCAATGACAACTCTAATGTAACACGTAGGAGAAAAACACCAGAAGAAACGTAAGGGCATGCTAGAATGGAGATCACTAGTTCCCTGCAACACAAACAGGCAGCCTTCACTGGCCTGCAGAGGAAGAGAGGGAGAGATGAATGCAGCGAAGGGGAAGAATGGGCCAGGAAAAAATGACAAAGTGAGAAATAGAGAAAGAGGTGTGTGTGTGACAGTACAAAGACAGCATAAAGATTTCATCATTCTTTCAAACGCTATTGTTGAATTTCAGAGTGTCTTTTTACATTGTCTGCACATGAAAGAGAGCGACAGAGACAGAAAGAAAAGCATGAGGAGGAGATGTGAGAGCAGGCTGGTAAAAATCACCATCTCCTAAAAACAGCTTTTTCTTTTTCTTTTTCTCTTTTTTACTTTTCTGTAAATACTGCTCACTGCTGTAATTATAACATGTTTCCAATTGAATTGTGTCATTGCTTTCTGTTGTATTTATCATTTAAGTCATTGTTTCAATGTTCAAAGTATGACTTTTTATTGTCCAATGTATTTTAATACAGTTGATTCTAATTCAGCTTCAACCCAGTTTGTGAAAATTATCACATTTACAACAAATGTTGATGGAAGCATTCAGTGTACATTTACAGCAGCAACTGTGGTACAGAAGACAAACTGGGTAATTAAGATGCCCACAGTGATAGCCAACTACTTTATTTTATCTACAGCAACTTTACTGATGAAAACTCAAAGGGAAAAGATGTCACATGAACAGCACAAAAGTTCTTTAGATCTTACAGATTATGAATCAGACGGCTAAGATTATCAAAAAGATAAACAACAGCTGTTAAATGATATAGGATAAGTTTAAGGTAATTTTGAAATTGATTTAATGCTCATAATAAAGTTTCACTTTTTTGACTTAACTTTATTACAGTTTTGTTGTACTGTGTTGTTTTTGACAAATTTAATTCACAGGCACGTTGACTCTAAAATAAAGATATGCCATAATGACAAATCTTTAACCCATTAATGTAATGTAAAGCACTAATGTGAGGTTATATTGCAAGGTTTTACCTGGCTGTTGTTGTCTAGGTGTTGTTTCTCTAGTTTTTAAAGGAAAACCTAACCCTCTTATCTTTATAATTTTATATTCTGAATTATCACAATATAGATTCAAAAAGAAAAATCATAATCTATTGCTTTTTCTCTGTCCACTATTTTCATTGTGGAGACTTAAGAGGCATTTTGTAATTATTATGACAAACTAGTCGGTATCTCAAAAATTACAAATGCTTGTTACCACTGGATTCAGAGCAACTTCAATTTCATAATATGTGCCTTGATCAAAATAATATTAAAAACATATTTTTGTGAATTTTTGCAATTTTAAAAGAAAAACTTTGTCTGCCACATGTCTTAATAGTTTCAACCTCTAATCTGGGGCTTTTCTTTAACATACTAAATATAGCTGTTAGTCATTAATAGGTTAATATGTTAAAAGCCAAATATTGGTCCATAAATTCTTATATTTTGTTAAACTCTCAAATACGACTCCTCCCCTTGTTGTTTTGCATATTAATTTTTATTTTGCTGGTTTCTCATTTTGTGTCCGGTTGGCACATATGTATAACTTTTGTTTATCTGTGTTCTTTACAAGAAAAGTAAATAACTCCTCTTCCCCTCTGATAAAGAAAGCTGACATCCTCAGTGCTTTTGAAAAGGGTTACACACATAAATGAAAGATACTACAACAATTATTACTATCATTAATAACAATGAATTATAATTATTTTCCCTTGCTGTTGTCTAATATTTTTCAGTGGACACTGCGGTGGTGTTCTTGGATGAAATCTCAACATCTTCCATGTTACTTAAGGCACCATTATTTAGGTATCTTAGACCAGCAAGATAAAAAACAATAAAGAGAGCGAGACGTATAATGAAAGTCTGGTGAGTCCCAGCTGGTTATGTTCGACTATCATTATGTCCGTCTCTGTGAAGACTATAATGTGGTTAGTGTCACCTGAGGGCCCGATGGACTGACGATCAGGAGTGAAGAATGAGTGGGACTGGGCTCTGTTCCTCTCTCTAATCTGGTCATAATGAGGCCACAAGCTCTTCTCCCACCACAGCAGATAAGACAGTAATTGTTTAAGTGTTTTATCTGATGTGGGAAGCGGCCATGCAGAGGTAGTCCGTTGCATACTGAGTCAATGAATCACCACACAACTGTACAGGACAGCCACCAGTGGATTTTTAAAATTTAGACTTCCTAGTACAGTCAGATATAGCTGATGTAGTTAACACATGGCTCTGGCTTACATATATTTCAGTAACTGGAAGGTAAAAATGCAATATTATTAGAAAGGTCATATGCTCTTATTCTCAAAAGGCTTCATTTTGTTGTTAAAAAGGTAAATAATTTCAACAGGGGGGTGTCCCTAACCCTCTATCTGGAGTCATGTCTCCCCTAAAATATATTGTTACAGAGATGACTTTGTCTGAAGGTGTATTTTCAGCAGCACAGATGCTAATGAAAGCTCATAGAAACATTATAGAAATGCTACAGGCAGCATTGTGTCTCTATGATCCCTACCATGACAACACATTGCAACTTGTCAGATTAATCATGAAGGTGACACAACTCTATATAGCATATAGGCTTCACTATAGTATATACATTGATGTATGTAGTTTAGAGAATATTATAGATCCAAGATTAAATTTATACAAGGGCAGGACTGAGAGAGAAAAGCACTATTACAAATCTGTCTGCTACTTCAGCACCACGGACAGCACCATGGATTTCAGTTAGGATACTGATATTGGTCGGGGCCATAGATTCCAACTTGCACAAACCTCAGTGAGATAAAGGATCAATGAGTCAGGCAGACTACACTAACATTTCAACTGAGCAACCTTTCTGCCCTTGCTCTCTCTCTCTCTCTCTCTCTCTCTCTCTCTCTCTCTCTCTATCTGCTACCAGGGGATGGAGAGTGGGGATGGCAGGTTAACAAGGGGGATGTTTTTTAATCATTTTACTAACAAGGTGGTAGCCCTTCTCGTGCCCCCTTAAACTGTCTACTGATAAACAGCAATTGTGTTTGTGTGATTGTGCATTGAGTCTGGAGGGTTGTTTGTTCTTTTTTTAGCCTTTCCCGAACCAAAAGCAAAATTAAGAGGAATGGATTAAACAGTGTGTCTGTTTGCTATAACGTAAAAACTACAAACATTAGCATGTCCAGCTAACTTGTGTCCTATCATAAACTGTACACTTTATGTTTACTACCTAGGTCAAACCGGGTCCTAGGTTTGCTATCCTGCTGGGAAGTAGTAGGGTTTAGTTTCGGGGATAATAAATTACATGGTATTGGATCGGTGCACAGACACACATACTCACAGAAAGAAATGAGAAGCACATTGTTCAAAACAATAATTTAAAGGGGCTGCCATTATTAGTGTAAACTTAGAGGATGGTCAGTTTTCTCTATTTTATATTAAATAGATTTAGATTTTTTTATGGTTATTGCCTATTTACCAGTTTTTTTCAGTGTTAACAATGTCTACAAGACATTTTTTTAGTCTGGATCATGACAAGCTCCAGACAGGATGGTAGCAACAGTGACCTTTCAAAACTCACTCAAACATGTTGTCTCTGGTGAAACTGGTAATTTCACTTCTGTCCTCTATTTAATTCCTGATGGTCTCTCCGTCATTTTCCAGCTCTTTTAAAAAAAAAAATGAAATCCTATTTGGTCACTTTACCTTTACTTTTAGCAGTGTCCTAGTTTTATTGCACATGACCCTCTGGGCTGCAGACAGGGCCATTAATACATGTCATCAATCGGCTGCTGTCACAAACACAGAAGATCACTTTGACCGTCCTGCAAAGTTTGCACTCATCTCAAAAGGTCACACTTTGATTTGCTGCCAACGTAAATGGCCTTCAGGAGCGGATATAGTAGATTCAATTTAAGACTAACATTTTTCTCTTCTTTTCTCTTATTTTTTTTCCTTTTTCCAAATGAGTGATAGCCAAAAACTACTTTACCTGATGACCTGATGTGTGTCAGTACCTGATTGGTGGACTGGTACTGGAGGCAGCAGTGATCTGCAGGATGTGCAGCATCTTTTTTCCCACTGACCCACAGCCTGTGGCCTGTTTTTATCGTCCCACTTTCAGGCAGTGCAGGTAACCTAAAACTGTGACGGTTTGAGAGCTTGATAGAGTGTACGCCGTATACTCACGGTGTGCTAACTCTATCTTTCTCTATGAAGCCTGGAGTCTCTGCCTGTACCTCCAAACTCACATGCACCCACACGCCCTCTGGCCTCCAAGCGTGCCAGAAGAGAACGTCACATTATGCGGCCTCGCCATCTGTCTTATTCATGTGAGGTACAACAACAGAAAGCTTATACTGTATATCAGACAAAAGGGATCATTTCCTTCCAAGGCAGTGTGAATGCTAGCAAAACTTGAATAATTGCTAAGCTGAGCCCGAGGAATGTATTTGATGAAGAAGCTAATTTTCATTTTTAAGAAAAGTCTGCTCGCTGATATACCCGCGACACTGACTGCAAAGGACACTTTAGGTCTGTTTCTTCCCAAAGCTACAGACACACTCTGATTTGGCCTTTGGTCGACCTCGGCAGTTGAGCCGAAATTGGTTTTGACAGGAATGGAGTTTTTGCGCTGCCCTGAGAGCGTGCATCATTAGCATGCTTCATTACACAAATGCAGAATAGTTTTGTCGAGTACAACTTCATCAATTCACACACAATGGTAAAGTAGAAGTCTATTTTCAGTGTGCTGTTTATCACTTGAAATCCCTGTGGAAGGTGTACTGTAGAAGGCAAAAGTGTCAGGTGAAGGAGATGGTGGTGATTTTTACTTTCAGACTGACATCGGGGATCGAGACTGAGAACAAGAGGGCGAAATGCAGCTGTGCAAGAGGGAGAAGGAGAGAGGTGGACAAAAATTGGATGTTAGGTGGAAAGAGAGGGAGAGAGAGGCAGAAGAAGCAAAAGAGGAGAAGAGAGAGGAAATAATGAGACAGTAAAATGAAAAAAGGGCTGGAGAAATTGAGGAAGCGAATGAGACTAAAAAATGAAAGGGATGAGGGGAGAAAAGCATCCTTAGCATTTAAATGAGTCACGACAGAGGGCAGACCACCCATCCCCTCGCAGCATTTGGATTCAAGACCTGGAAGTAATGAGGAAGGCCAAACAACAGATGACTTTCCATCTAGAATATTAAACCTCATTTTATCTTGGTGACAAGCCTGCATTCATTATCTGGGCTAAAAATACACACATGCAGCGCATGTTTGAATATACGGGCTCAGAGAACACCGTCTGCAGTCATATACTGAGTTTTAAAATGGTTGTGTGTATAATTTCATGGTTAATGGCATAATGTGTCAGAGCTTTTCTACACAGAGACACATTCCTCGTATAATAATGACTCCCAGAATGTGCTCTGGTTCGGCAGCTCATTAATGCTCTGTCACAATGCTGCGTGACGGAAAAATAAGTGTGTAAGTGTTGGACGGATATGTGCTGCTTGTGATTGAGCGCCTAATGAAAAGTGCTCTGTCAGTGATATCCCATCATGCATTCTTGTGAATAAAACATGGGGTCACGCTGTATATTATCGAGCTTTACAGAATGCGTGATTCCTGCGCTCTTCAAGTCCTGTGGATTTCACTAAGGTGGGGATCACTGTATACATGTATGTACACACATACACACACACACACACACACACACACTCACTCTCTCTCGTGGTGTGTTGCTGGCAACCCCTGGAGGGCTTGGTGGTTATGTGTTATGTAAGGAGCTCAGGAGGAGAGAGGTGGGGGTTTCTCACACACGTTCATGCTCAGGCTTATCGCCCCAGGGCTCTGCAATGAGCACGGTGTGACTGATAAGAGTGTGTGTGTGTGTGTGTGTGAGTGTGAGAGAGAGAAAGATAGAAATGGTGAGAAAAAATTAGCAGGGGAAGGATGGTTAAATACTCACCAGTATAGGACATGTAAAGACACTGTAGTGTGTGCAGGCGGAAGAAATTTAGCATATCTGTGTTTTTGTGCATTTGCATGGCTTCCTGTCAAACTGAGTCTGAACCAGCTTTGATCTTCAAGGCTTTTTTCTTATGTATTTTTTTTTACACTGCACTATTTTTGACGCCAGTTTTAGTATCAAACAGAGCACCATTTTTTTTCAGAAGCGTCAGACTATTTCCTCTTTTAGAAAAAAAATATATCAACAATTAACCTGGAATAAAATGTGTGTTTTTTTCATTCATCATTAATGGAAATGTATTTTAATTAATTAATGCATATTCAACAATTATACTTTTCTAATCTAGAAAAAGAACACAGTAAAAAAAAAACAACAAAAAACTACTGCTCTCCTTCACTTTGCTGTTTTCAAAGCTATCTCTACTGTCACAGAGAAACATGATTGGGAAGCATATTGCCTGTGTGTCTGTGCAGGCAACTTTGCTATGGTTGGGATTTGAGGGGGTTGTTCTATAAATACACTCTGTGCTAGAGGAGAATCTAGGCTGCACAAACAGACATGCCAACATACAGTCCTGCCACAACGCACACTGCACACCAGAGAAATGATACACAACCCAGACAAGCTGACAGACCACACACAGTTTGAATTAAACTGTCCTGTACAACATACATATGAACTCCTTTCTCCTGAATAGATAAAATGTTTCACATTCAGTGAGGAGCCACAATGTATGTTCCCTGACAATCAAATGCACCAAACAAGTCAAACACAATCAATTTGTAACAGCCACTCAGATCACTGACAGCAGCGCTGCCGTTCCTGTGGGACAGTCTTTTGTAATTCGAGTCTCAAGGCCACGACAGGGTGTCAGTCCAACACCAAAGTCACTCTGACACATGACAGCTCCATGGCGCTGACATTAATGGGAACCAGGGAAGATCACAGTGTGTCATCATCCATTTTGTTCTTTTTACAGATTGAATGCGCTTCAATGAGGAATCTTAAAAATACAAGTGGAGTGACGAAAAAGCGGCAACTTGCTTCTTTCTGCATACCTAAAAGGGAACCTTGTTACATGGTACAAGGTCTCTGAAGAGAAGAAGCAACATCATACTTCCCCGATGGGCAGCACCATCACACTGGCTAAAATAAGATAAAACTTCCTCCCCTGAAATGTTGCCTTAATTAGGCTTTGTTTAAAGCAGGGTCAGTATTTTCACTTTAGAAAGTAAAAATAGTTTCTCGAAGGCAATAAAACTCTTATGAGTATGGTATTGTGTGCTCCAAAAGCCTACAGTGCTATTCACAGCTTTGTTCTACAACAATGCATTCATAATGAACCTTAAATATAAAACTATGTGTAGAAAGGAAGGTGGAAAACAGGATGCCTGATGTTTTGGTAACAGTGGTGACTGAAAGCACAAGACTGTGATAATCTATACTTTTCTTGTTGTCAACAAATCACATCAAAAGACCGAAACCAACAATGAATTGATCCTTCTAACAAGTAGTCACAGCCTGATACATGTTTTCCCTTTGCCATAGACCTCCATTGTTGTCCAAAAACTATTAAAAACACATCACTGCGGCACACTGCTGCGTTGATTGACATGTTCCTTCATTACCATGAAAATGGGCTCTGAATGTTTATTTTGAGTCGATCCCACATACACCATCCTGCTGTTGTAAATACTCACTAGCAGCTGAATATAGTCTCCAACAAATGCACCATTTACTCCTTTTGAGTAGTGTGTGCTGAAAACTATAACGCCCCGCTGTTTTAGGAAACTACTCAGCCTTTTTAAAAAAAAATAAATACAAAAAGTGCATAATCGTGACCAATTTTTCAAGATTGAAGTCTTTCAGCGGGAACGGATGGGCTTGTGGCAACAAACACACACTGGTGGTTTCGGTCTTGTCGGGGATTAGGAGTGACAATACCAAAAATATAGAAAATCTTCAGTGTTATCCTTTCATATGAATGTATTGTTAGGAATTAAGTTTTAAGACTGAACTGAATAAACAATGTAAGGTTACAGACTGTGTGCCAATTGTAAAGTCTTACCAATGTAAAAAAGATAAAAGAGACTACAGAAAGGCCAGACAGGATCCTACCTACTGAAAAAAACTAATGTTATTTAAAGTCTGCATTTTAGATACTCTGAAAGACAGTTTGTGACTTTTTGCAGAAGTAAAGTTAAAGAGGGAAGTTAAATTTCAGCTTCAGACAAACTAACCAGGAATGCCAGATTTGTGCTTGGGTATTTTTCTTTGAGACTCCACATGTGAATTTGTGGTACTCATGATTTCATGATAGAAAAACTATCCTTGTTAAACAATTAAGGAAGCATTTATGGATAAAATAACCACATGGGCGTGTACATTTTTAGCTAATCCAGTGAACAAAATACCTGACAAATTGAGGTACTTTATCACATTCATGCAAAAGTCATGTAAAAATGCTGCTCAGTAATTTGCAGCATTGCCTACAATGGCCTTAAGCAGCCAAAAACACAGTACCAAAGTAATGGCTGCGGTAAAAAATGGTGAACAAAATTTCTCATGAGAGCCTTCCCAACCCTTATTTTAATCTAATCCCAGCAGTTCATTAGATTATTTTAATCCACTGTTCTCAATGAAGGTAATAATGGTAAACATCTTTTACTATCGCACTGTGCGACCTTCTGATTTCAGGATAAACCAGGTCAGCCTGCTGCCTCTACCCACAGCGTGCTGCAACCGAAGGGCTTAAATAAAAGTAGGTTACACACTCACTGTGGAACAACAAATGAAGACGATGACGAAAGTCCCAATGACACCTCCGATTCCCACCAACCAGGTCATCCTGAGGAAGAGGATCACGCCGAAGATGTTCTGGATACACGGCAGATAGACGCCCATCAGAGTGCCGAGCTGGGGGGCCTGGAAGAGGATGAGGGAGACGTTATTGGACATTTCGTGGGCCAATAAGGTTAATTAATAAGCTCCATTTTCAACATAAGCGCTCATGATTGTAGCATTTTTTTGACATGACTTGTTATTTGGCATGTACAGTGACACAGTTTGTCCTGCAATTTAGTTTATTGATGAAGATGCGGTTTTAATTTTGAATCCCAGACAGCCATCAGACAACAGAAGGTAAATGTTTAGTTTCACTTGCTTATTTGCTATAAAACTGACACACCAGATGCGTGGCACTCCCTGAATGACTCCTGTTTCACTTTGGGGGCGTCTATGTGAATCAATGAATGTCAACACACCAGCCGTGCATGCTTGGAATCACAGTGTGCAAATTTGCAATAGTTGTCTTGTCTATTTTCTCTCAGGGTCACGTGCAGAGACAACTGAGCACAAATAAAAACACACTACAGATGGTCACACTGCCATTAAGGCAAAACAGACATTTACTTGTAGGACTTCACAGATTGTTACTTTCAAAGGCCCAATTTGTAATTGTTATATGGTGCTTTGGGTTGAAATAGCTGCTGTTGCCACATTACTGGCTTTGTTTATTTTTATTTATTGTAAACATGTGTTCTTCATTATGTCAGTGTTGATTCTTTTTTATTTTTTTTATTTTACTGCCCCTTGTTACCATTACAGCTGAACAAACATTTTAAGTATTTAAGTATTTAGTGTAAAGATAAATGTTTCAGTTCTTCCATCTACATCATCTGCCATATTTTACCTTTTATTTGACATTTTTTTAATTTAAAGATTTCCCACAATGCTTTCTGTAAATCCTTTGTTGATTAACAGAACAAGAATTACTTTGAGTCCCGGAAACAAAGAAAAACCACTGGAGGCAGGGGACCAATCTCTTCAATGGATGGATTATTTTATTTCTTTACAGAGCTCCTTGCAGTGGATTTGTTCTAGTTGGTTTTGCTGCAGTGACTGCCGTCCCTGGTGAGGATCACTGGACAAAGAGAGAGCTGCTCCGTGCGTCCTTATTCAGAACAAGAATCAGTTTCAAGGCCGTTCCATTGAAGGCCATTACAGACACTTGGAGACTGAAGATGTATTTTGTCACATGCAGGTTGATTAATAGCAGGTTTCTTCTCCTGAAGGTTTTTAGGATGTTCTTGATGTGCGTGCGTGGGCGTTTGTATGGACCTATTTGTTTGTGTACAGTATGTTTATGTGTGTGCGTGTCTGCACCAACATGATGGCATGTATTAAATCTGAAGGACACATCAGCTGACCCTGTACATAATAGAGAGATATTCATTTCCTGCTCAAGGACAGCTTGGCCAATAAAGGGTAATTATGCCGATATCCAGCCATGACCTATTTTACCAAGTGAGAGTGCAGACCTTAACTGTCACATCATTACATCACAGATAACACATGGACAAACCCTTCTCTGCTGCATCTCTACGCTTAAATGCAGACAAACAGGAGGAATAGAAGAGAATAGGTGATTAGTTGTGTAATTAAATATGTTATTACAGGTGAGGATTTGTCACAAAAGGGTGATTATTCCTCAGACAACAATAATACATCTTACATGAGCAAATTCATCAAATAGAGGATTACCATGTGTTTTATTTTATGTATGGTACCATACGGTTGAACTACTAAATCATGCATTTTCAAATATTCTGAGTTGTGTCTTGAATGGATAAAAATCCAGCACATATCAGATAAGTGGGTTCGATATAACCCTAGGGTTCACACATGGTGTTGTCCAAAAACAGGCCCAGCTTATTTCCATCCTAACAAGTTTAAGATAAGCAGCAACAGCAGTTTACAAATACAAATGTAGATTATGTCAATGCACAATGTGTAGGCAAGAAAGTAATAACTTCTGCAACACTGTTTTGCATTTTAAATGTTTTTTCTAACTTGAGCAAACAAGTGAGGGTAACAAGCACCATTATGTCTTAGTTTTATGTTTTTCCTGTTAACTAATGTTGGTGCGTTTATTATACAGGGAGTAGAGAATGAAGGAATGAGTGGTTTCAGCCAATGTGTTTTTAGAGTGGATCTCAGTTTTTGTTTGTCTCATGCACGTGAACACATACGCACATGGGCGGTTTCACGCTCTTCTGCTGATGAACATTTGGCGGCAGTAAGACGCCAAGAGACGTAACAAAGTGCCAACAAAGGCTGTGAAGAAGAAGACTGCTAACAAACAAAGATGGATGAAATATGCACGGTTTAAAATATTTAAACGACTGGCTTTGCTCATGATTTATGAGGATGGGAATGCATTCAACACGTTCGTTAGACCTCAAGGATAGACAGGTCTTCAAGTGAACATCACTCCATGGAGAAACTTTAAGCATCAGGTTAGATTTATACTGAATTGGCTGTTATATTAACATTTTATATTTAACATATATATTTAGAAACAGTGTTGATATAATTTGTCCACCAGAGAGCAATGAAAGGTTTTTGTTTGTCCTGCTCATAATCACAATTCTTTAACATGTGTTTATTTTTATTCTCTTTTTTTGTAGGTTAAAAAAGATATTTGCTAATATATCAGTATCAGACTTCCTGAACTCTCAAATATCTGCTGACATCGACCTCAAAGACCAGTATCAGTCGGGCTGTAATCTTTTATCTTTTGTCTCCAAAATGCATTATGAAATAATGATGTGCTTTGGAAAGTACCTATAACACAGCTTGGTTATCAGTGATGTGCTACTAATATATTCCTTCAAAAGTGGATATTAAATTTGCTCTAACCGGATGGACACTATACAAGATGGAGGATTTCAAAAAAAGGCCTGCACTGGGAAGCAACAGCAGATGCTAAATTCATGAACCCGACTTTTAATCAAATCATCCTGACAAGTGGCTGACATCAAATGAATAATATTGTGTCTGATGCTACAGTATGTGATTTGTTTGGAGAGGCTCGCTTTCCAGCATTAATAATGCACTGTTTGCAGAGAGGAGAAGAGAGAGCAAGAGCAGGGGAGAGAGAAACATAGAGAGGGAGCAAGTCCAAACAGGTCTCACAAATATAATTATCTTCTAATTTCTTTTAGATAAACAACAGAGCAAGAGCTCACACTCAGAACTGTAATTAGCGAGCTTATCGCTTCGGAAACCTGGTTGTGAAGACCAGAAAATGGCTTATAAACATGTCAAATCACATTATATCATATCATATGTGTTATTTGCTCATATACTGCATCACATACTGTATCGCATCATTATGTGACATAACATTAACACAATGTGGCATGTCATGTACGCAGGCAACTTATCATATACATGTATTCTGCACCATCTGTGATAAAAAAAATAATAATTTAAAGATTTAAAAATAAAATATAGTGCATCTACTCTCACACCTTTAGCTGGATTCTAAGCAAACTGTACTTCCTGTTCACGGTAGAAAAGGTAACAAAGACAATACTTTCTGTGTAGCTTTAATGTTTTCACTGAAAGTTGAGGGTGTTTTTTACAGATCCATCATAAAATCAGTCCTGGCCTTCTAAGTTGTTTGTTGGTGTGGAAATTTGAATGTGCAAAGCGAGGTTTGAGTAAAAATCAGTGGCGAGCAGCAGGGACACTTTTAGTTGAATCGCACATAAAAAATAAACCCATTTCAGCAAATCCAAACCATCTTCATCAGTCCTTCTGGTCAGATACAGTTTTTCATCAAATTAGACACAACAGGTTGAAATGTAATAAGAGTTTTAAAACACCATAAACTGTCCCTTCGTTTTACACATACCTTATAATTTTATCTTATCCTTGTTTTTACTGTTGCAGTTTTGCTTTTTATTGCATGCTGGTATATTGTCTATAATTGTCTTTTTGAGTTTGTGTTTTTTATTTGCTTTACTGCAAAATTCATCTTGCAGAACAATAAAAATCTCAATTTAACCACTTTCCTATTATTCTGCAGGTTCTTCTTCTTATATCCTTTACAGTTGTGTATCGTTTCTCCTCTGTAGAAGCCGTGATAAAAACCTACAATCCTGCCTCTTCAACAACTTAATCCTCACAGCAGGGAATCTCTCAACCTTCATCCTCATTGTGCTTTAATCAAAGATCCACATCATGGCCTCCACAGGTTGCTGGTGGGAGCAGCGGAGAACAAACCTCGTTTATCTCTGTCACCTTCCCCACTATATGATAATGATTTGCACAGTTTGTCTGTTGTCTAAGCTATGCAAATCAGATTGTGACTCACTGTGACTGTGCCCTTCAGTGTGTGGCGGAGAGGATCTTTCATCATCTGCTTGTCAAGGGTCTTAATAAAGTTTTTTTTTATGAATACTGAAATCCCGAATGGCCTTGTACCTTTAAAACTACATTTATATTATGTAAGCAATGAATGAAATATCACTGTAAGGCTGTATTTCCTCAATCTGAGGTTGGTTTGACAATCAAAAAGGTTCCAAGCCTGCATATTTCAAATATAAATGATTTGAGTCAGAAAGAAAGGGAGACCGATTTTATGTTAGAAAATAATTATAAGAACATGAGTTTACAATAACAAAAACAAACTATTAGGAATAAAAGACTAATTGGTCCTCAGCTCTTCTGAAAACTGACCAGACATCACATTATTTTCACCTCCAAATTCTTTTCCTTTCATGACTCCCAGACCACCCAGTAGCAATGCTGTAATTAAAAAGACGGAGTTTCCATTGACAGGTCCTTCGGGGACTTGGTGTGTAATATACATTAGCAATCTGGTGCTGCAGGTAGAAAGGTACCCCTGGCATCAGCACTTTGTTGTTAGACCCAAAACTGCTGCTGCTGCAGAAAGTGGTCTGAGGTCAGTTTGTAATAACAAGTAAGTTATTAGAGGAAAACCTGTGAGTATTTACGTACTGTAGTGTACAATAGCAGACATAACACCCACACGAGGATGAAGGCTCTGGAAGTCCTTTCAAGGTGGGCGATTATAATTAAAAAGTATTTCTAAAACTACTTTGTGTTTCGTGGTA